GGATGCTTAATAATCACCGTCGGCATGAGCCATGATCAGTCCACTTCTGGATGAAGCTGTCACCATCTTCAATGATCCTGCGATATCATAATCCACCTAATACCTGCACTCGGGGGGGGGGGGGGGGGGGGATTGCCATCGACCATCTGACATCATCACCATCATCATTAAATTGTTACAGGACAGGGTAATATACTATTATTAATGATTGTTTTGAAAGTACTAAAATATGTATTTATCATTTATTACTTGTGCAGTTCAGATTATAAAATCGATTTTTTAAATTAAGAAATGCATTAAAACAGTTGGTGATATTTTGCAGTTATTATTATCGTGAACGCTCGTTATTGTTATGACAGTATCGTACAATTTTCACAGCAAAGTCAAAACGTCAAAAGTGTCTTGCTGCTTTAAAGAACATGGGGCAGTACAAATGTTAATTGGCAACCCTGAACCAGTTGTGGCAATTCCACATTCCTATGACGGTGACCATTCCGATCTATGTTCACATTAATATCACGTGAGTGATTATAGGTATTTCAGATTTACTGAAATATACACCCATCCTTGGATGGGCAAAAGAGCGAGTTATATATACTTTTAAAGCCCCAACGTTATTGATGAGTGCAATTTTTTTGTTCTATAAATCAAGCAGGATTCAGTGAATGGTTTTACCCTTTTAACTGGCACAAAAACTGACGCCTTTATTCAAGGCATCATGTTTGCAATAACCACAACACAAGAAGTCAAAATGCAAAGAAAAAAGACAGCTCTGATGATAATAATATACACTGTCCTTGAATTTGATTGGTCCACACCAGATACGACTTTTCTTAGAGCCTAGTCTCCACTGGTGTTGGACCAGAAGACACCAAAAGGCATACAACTCAAAAACAGCGCACTATCAGAGTATTGAGGGCTCGGGGTGAGCATTTACATTATGAGACCTCCTTTGCCAGTAACAAGATATAGTGAATGGTTTTACCCTTTTAACTGGCACAAAAACTGACACCTTTATTCAAGGCATCATGTTTGCAATAACCACAACACAAGCAGTCAAAATGCAAACAAAAGAGACAACTCTGATAATAATATGCACTGTCCTTGAATTTGATTGGTCCACACCAGATACGGCTTTTCTTAGAGCCTCGTCTACACTGGTGTTGGACGAGAAGAGCCTAGTCTCCACTGGTGTTGGACTTCTGGTCCAACACCAGTGGAGACTAGGCTCTAAGAAAAGCCGTATCTGGTGTGGACCAATCAAATTCAAGGACAGTGCATATTGTTATCAGAGTTGTCTCTTTTGTTTGCATTTTGACTGCTTGTGTTGTGGTTATTGCAAACATGATGCCTTGAATAAAGGTGTCAGTTTTTGTGCCAGTTAAAAGGGTACAAGCAGGATTCGTTGACATGAATGTACTGCTCTTGGCAGCTATCACTGTTGTAATTAGAGATATAACTATGCATCGAATCGGAGATTAAGATATCAATCCTTACGCTCAAGATATATGGGTAGAATTGTCCGTGTCGGAACTGATGACTTTCGCTTCGTACGTACCATTTTAACGGACGAAAATATCGATTCTCAAATAATATCGCGACTATTTATAACAATTGGTGGAATTGCTGGGGGTGTGTGGGGGGTTGTCAGGTGGGGGCGGGTGGGGGATACGGAGAGGTTGGTGAGTAATTGCATGCCTCATTGTAATGGTGTTACGTACCGCGTACAGACAATTTTGTCAATCCGCTGCTGGATGAGTTCTTCCAATTGGCTTGCGGATCATGGGAGCTATTTAACCATACTTCATCCACAACGGTCAATGCATGTTCATGAAGTCGGGAAGCACAGATGCAGGAGCGTTGCGCGGTAAAACAACAATTTACTGCGTTGCACTCTCAAGAAGAGTCTAAGTTATTCCCTGTTCAATTGAGCCATTAGTGGAAATTCCTCATTCCTATGACGGGGGGGGTAAGTCTATCCATAGGGCATCCACCATTGACTTATTAGTCGAGTGCCAACAGTGGCGGGATGTTAACTACATCGCTTGGTATGCATGAGGTCCGGCGGGATGTTAACTACCTCGTCTGGTATGCAGGAGGTCGTGGGTTTGATCCCGACCCTGACGCCTGTATATTTGGAGTTTGTATGTTCGCTCCATAGTCGTGTGGATTTTTCTCTGGGTCCCCCGGTTTTTCCCTCCATATTTAGAATCAACAACTCGCGTTTTTGAGTATTTGCCTGCGACTATACGCCACTTCTTTGAACGATCATTCGTGATCGCCGGGTCTCGCGATCGGGAGATGTTAACTGTGTGCAGCAGTTGATTGCAGGTGACCAAATACATTTGACAGATTTGCTTATATTTGTATATATTCAGATTGAATGCTATCGGGTTGAAGGGGTGGTACAGTGGTAGCGCACTGTACATTACTTTGTTTGATTCATCATCATGGCTACATCAGTGTCGAGTGATATCTGCCCCCCCCCCCCTCTTCAAATCAAACTGATCAGTGCACCGAAGAAGTATGGTCAAATAATCACATGACCGACATGGTAGAGGCAGGCCTTCATCCAGCTGTGGATTGACAAAGGGCTGTAATTTATACGTATATATTTTTTTATAAATCCTGTCATTCCAAACATATCCGAGAGGATGTCCAGTGAGGAGGTGGAGCAATTAAAGTTATCGGTGGATCAATACTTCGCACGATCGCGAGAGACAGCAGATGCTTGGAAGAGGCCTTCATCCAGCAGTGGATTGACCATGGCCTAACGATGCAGTAATCCCGAGAACGTAATTCCTCTTGAGAGATACGGAACCACAGCTGCAATAAACTCTTTTACAGAAATATGTTTCGGGCAGCTCACAAAGAGACCATCTTCATTGGGAAAATCCGGGGGGGGGGGGGGGGGTGGGGAGCTTAGCTCATTTGACAACTGTTGAAATCTTTTTATCCAGGGTCCCGCAAACTGCATTGTCACGCACCGCACGCGGCGCTTCATGGTGCTCGTGGCGCTACGGATTTACAGCCAGCATGAAACGTTTGACACCGAGCGACACGCGCAACGAGCTGAACCGCAAACCGATGACGTGTTGCCCGATTCCGGTCGTTTCCAGCCACTCCGGCGTGATTGGGTTTCCTCGGAGGGGGTGCGGTCATGTGTTTGGTCAGCATACGGAGCCAGCGCTTGCTGAGGCACCGGAATTTGATGTCCTGGTGTTGTCCCAAGCGGTGTAAAACAAAAAAAAAAGGTTGTTTTGTTTTAATTGGGGTGCCATGGTGCCGAGATGTTAACCACCTCGCCTGGTATGCAGGAGGTCGTGGGTTCGATCCCGATCCTGACGCCTGTTGTGTATTTCGAGTTGTCATGTTTTTCCCTTTTCTCCGGTCCCTGCGGTTTTTTTCCCTCCACATTTAGAATCAACGTGTGCTTAGAGAGTATTTGGTTTGGTCTACATTTCCACGCGAGAAGCCACATGAAGTGGCTTATCATGTGGAAATGTATAGCAACCAAACGCACTGAGAGCATGTTTCTAAATGTGGAGGGAAAGACCGGAGAACCCGGAAAAAATACACGCGACTACAAGGAGAACATGTAAACTCCAAATTTACAGGCGCCAGGGTCGGAACGGAACCCAGGACCTCCTGCATACCAGGCAAGGGAGTTAAATATCGCCACCGTGACGCTCTTCTCGCCACCCTGGCGCCTTGCGGTTAGTTTGAGTTAATCTGTAAGTCTTATAATAACAATAATAATAATATAATTCTGTGTATGAGCTGCAAGTCTGAATACGGCTTCTTCCAAGTGTGGACAGAGCTTAAAAATAGGCACTTGTCACTGACATTTCAAATGTCGCTCGTCCTTGATCCGAGCCGGTCGCGTTTATGGTGGGTACACTGAGAAGAGCCCCCTCTTATTTTTTTTTAGTGGCGAGAGGACCCTGGGGAGCCTTGGTCATCCAGGTGTTACCCCAATGAATGAACCCCACCTCGCTACCCCCCCCCCCCCCGCTGATTTGCGGAAAATTTGGATTTCATTTACCAAACAAAATATAACCAATGAACAAACTGCACGCGCGTAGACGTGAAACTACTTTCCAAGACATGTCCTAGGTGTGTTATCAGTGGAGCTGCCAACAGGGCTGGTGTCGTGGTTAGCACACCGTGACTTGCAATCCAGAGGTTCCACAGGGGTGGTGTAGAGCTGAGCACACCGGAACCTTCTGCCAGCAAGGCATGTGAGCAAGCAATTTCAGGGCTGTACCTTTGCCGTTTTAGCTCCAAGCAAAGGCCACGAAATGTCGCGTTTAAAATTGCACGCATTTGCGTGGTAAAAAGACGATGAGGTGTTGCACAGAGAGGATCTGAATGCCAACAGATTCAAGTGACTGCGGCACTTGGAGATTCAATACCTGCTGAGGCTCACCGTTCACTTTAATTAACAAGTAAAACTGAGTTAAATCATCAACGGTTTCATTTTTGCCACTTTTCTCTAAATGCAGATGCATTATTTCACGCGCTATTTTTTATGTTCCATGGCGACACAGTTTTTTTGTGCGCTCATTTATGTATGCTTCATATGGGGTTCTTTATAATTTCGTGACCCAGGGTCACCCTTGAAAATGGTCTCTTGATTTGTCACCTGAATCAACAAAGAAAACTTGACCATGACCTTCACCGGTGTCTTAACCTTGGAATTTTATGGAATTCTGAAGTGAGAAGATCCTGAATTTATCATGCAAGAGTCTACCACCGTGTCCAGTTTGTAAATTACTTACCAGGCAAAGAGTTATTGGGTCTGTTAAGCGTAGCTATGTTTCGAGCTAATTAAGATTCATGTAGCAGTGGCTTTTTAGTGATGTGTGAACTAACGTGTGAGAAACACGGAGTTTGGATGTTGCTTGGTACTCGCTGTGTGATGGTCGATCTGTTTTAGAATATAAACAACTGGAAAAAACGTGTTTTCATTTTGTGCTTGTGTGCGCATGTTTCGACAGATTAAATATTCAGTGTCTGCAACCCGGCCTCACCTTGGGTTAACTCCTGTGTCAGCAGCTTTCGAGGTATGTACAAACGCTCGGTCGGTGTCACGGTGGCTAGGAGATGTTATAGCTGTCTTGTCTGGTACACAAGAGGTCGTGGGTTCGATCCCGACCCTGATGCCTGTATATTTTGTATGTATCTCTCTCTCTCGTCCTGTGGTCGTGTGGATTTTTTCCCGGGTTCTCTGGGTTTTCCCTCCGTATTTAGAATCAACATGCGCTTACAGCATTTGGTTGCGAGAAATTTCCACGAGATAAGGCCACTTCGTTGAGCAGTCATTTTTGATGGCCACGTTGCTTTTGACAAAGATCTATATAGCTCAGTGGGCCTTTCCTGATAAAATAAAAAATAGTTTAGTTAGTTTAGTAATGGTCGGCACACTGGATTTGTGATCCATTAGCTAGTCCTGGCAAGGCAGTTGAAACAACGGTGCACGTTTCCAAATAGGAGGAATTAAATATAAAACTCCTTTAAAAGTGTCCTAATTCATACCTGTCGCCTCTGTGTCCCACCCAGAAGTGTAAATGGGTACGAGCAAAGTTAGTTGATCTGTAGGTCGCTTGTGGTGGGGGTAAAGTGTGGGTACGCACACCTATCCCAGGACGCCTAATCAGAGTGGAGGAGTAGGCCAAATACCGTCTCTTTGAGAGGGATCTGTAGAGCTCCAACTAGTGGGGAGGCCCTTTCGCCAGCAGTGGCGTGAGCAGGCAATTGCAGGGCTGCACCTCTGCCACCTTTACCTTACGCACATTGACCTGATTTCAATCCATTTTTAGGCCCGCTTTAGTCCTTATTTTTCTAGAAATCACAGTTATTAATCTCACAACCATAATGTGGTATTTGTATTTTAACTTACTATTGTTTATCTTAAAAAAGGAATTATGATAGACTAGATTTACTACCTGGCTTCGCCCGAGACTTGGATTCTTGTCTTGGATTAATACACGGCCTCCGTGGAGGGTGGAGGGTGGAGGGGGATGCGTGACGTCAGTAGGCACACTGCGTGACGCTGCCGCATGCGGGTGACATCACAGATGTGACGTCACCGCTCACTTGCCGTGCAATACATTATATCCATTATTGTGCCCCCCCCCCCCAAATACAAACGTCTATTTTTATACTTTTTGCATTGTGTACAGTCTGGAAGCTATCCACATGCCAAATTTCAAGTTTGTTGCATGTTGGAAAGTATGCTTAACATTTAGAACAGACACATATATTCACAAACTTTCCTTTTATATATATCATATAATCACCGTTCTTCTTGCATACATACGTAAAAAAAAACGCGAATTGATTTGTAATTTTTCCATGCCTCTCGGATCTCATCTATTAAGGACAAAGGTATCTTCCCTGGCCTGTCTATTTTGTATCGGCCAGTACTGTGAGTTATTGTCTATTAAGAATAAACTAAGCCCATCATCCCCCGAGGATCAATACATGGCAGACTCATCTCCGCCATTGAAACGCGGAATTTCCACCGCTGTGAGCAGGAGATGAGCACCAGTGGCTCAATGCTCATTTGAGCAGGAAATCACTTTTGACTTTGGAAAGATAAATTGTGGTCAGTATTAACCAGGGCGGACCACTGGATTCGAACAGTGAACCTGACGCCAGCACACGATGGCCTGCTCTTGAGAATTACGTCATGGGATCTCGAACATCCGCCGTGAAGCAGACGGCACTTAGTATTATTATTAATACACTACTGCCGTATTAACCAGGGTGGGCTGCTGGATTCGAACCGTGAACCTGACGCCGGCATACATTGAGAATGACGTCATGGGATCTCGAACCTCCGCCGTGAAGCAGACGGCACGTCGTATTATTATTATGGTTAATACACCACCGCCGCATTAATCAGGACGGCCGCCGGGTTCGAACTGTGAACCTCTGCACCTACGATTAGTACGGTTGGCTACGTGCGGTGCAAAAAATGTAAACATACATGCATACGTACATAGAGGCGGCGAACGCGCAACCTCTAGGCCACGTCATCCGCGCCCGCGCGCGTCACAGCATTATGGCCCTGCAAGGGTAACGGGCGTACTTAGAGTAACATCCCTTTTGAGAACAAGCCCAACGTGAATGACGACCACGGCCACCGGTGTTCATCTGTGCATTGCACGGCAAATATTTGCTGGCATTTAGCAAATCACTGTCAGGGTGACACTGCTCCCCTGTGTCCCTGATTAATTCTGTGACCCTTGACAGTCCTCTGTGTGCAAATGGCCAGCAAGGCAGTGCAAACAACAAGTTGCCGGCTTTCCAATGAACTCGTAAGGCTCAAGTAAGCGCAGTTTAGTTGAATAAAAATGGGTCGGAACATTGATAGGAAACATTACATATAAAACCCCTTAAAATGTTAAATTATAAGCAGAATGCCACGTGTAAATAAACAGATGATTTTGGTCCAAGGATCTATTGGCTTTCCAGACCAATATTATCAAGCAGCAGTTGGAGTCGTTATCTCATACTTTTAATGAAGAAATCCGGTCAGAGTTTTTGCTTGTACAGTAGTCCCTCGGTTAACGTTTTTAATCCGTTCCACGAAAACGCTTGTGAACCGAAATAACTGTTAATCGAATATAGGAATTACATTTCTGCCAAAACATAAAACAACGTAAACAAAGCCAGTCGCGGTTTAAACGCTCATAAATGGGCTTCACTGATTGGCTGAGGGTATGGCTCAGCCCCACTTACGAGCGCTCGGATTGGCCGAAATTGGCACCCGCGTGCGTAACGCAAACGTACCGCGAATCAAAATTGTAACATCAGTCGAAACTATGGGGGTCCCACGGGGAGGCGAAACGTTAACCAAAAATTGTTAACCGATGTCACTGTTAACCGAGGGACTGCTGTATAGTTCTGTGCAAGTTCGGGATCCCTTGAGAGAGAGAGAATCAGTGGTCTGTCACCCGGTTGAAATAAAGGAAATGCATAAACGGATGACTTATGCACTGCGAGTGCTCTTGTCAAGTGAGCCTGGTGTGCCGAAGAGCGACACTAAACTGTTATTTTCCATCTGCTTATGAAATTGTGATGACGCCAGGTGCTCTATTGTGCGAGCGCTGAACGTTTGGCTTGGCGCCTTGCAAAAAAAGGCTTTATCTGGCTTTTCAAGGCCTTATCTGATTCCGAATGCACCTGCATGCCCTCATGCCACGCGAATATTTTCACCGTTGCGTAAAGTTTTTCAAACATTTCCTTCCTCCACCCCCCCCCCCCCCCCCCCCCAATGATTGCGATGATAATATTGCAACAAACCAATGAAGTCACAGAACTAAGTAAGTGGGCACGGGCAGGACACGTCGCTAGACGGGGAGTGGTGGGCAAAGTGGGGGGACCGCGCTTGAGAGGTCGTCCACCACCCCGGAGATGGAGCAATAAAATCGGCTTGCGTACGGGCGCTGCTATGCCGATTGCTACAATGGATTTTGGGAGGCCTTCATCCAGCATTGGATCAGTCTTGGCTGACGTGAACACCGCATCACTACAACCATTGATATTATGAATCTGTCCCATTTGATTAAGGTGGCCCCGACGAAAATACTGGTCCCTTCCATGGGAATGTGGAATGTCCGCCTTTGGTTCACAGTCACCAATGACAATGAGTACTTGCTCCGTTACTTGTGAAAACAGGGAGAGTATACTCTTTGGTTCTTTCGGTAAAGTGACTACCGAAAGAACTGGGGAGTATGGATCCCTGCAGTCACGAAAACGTCAAATCTAGATTGAACAGGGAGAGTCTTTGTCCTTCGGTTGACATTGTACTGCACAAAATATCACCGTCTCGCTGTCATTGGTTTAACATTCGTATAACAAGTTGAGATTACCTACCCTATTCTCCAGATTTACACAATATATTTTTTTCCTTTGTCTTAAAAAAAAAGTTGCACCTTAAAATCCATGTGTGTGTGTGGCCATATCTGTTTGACTCTTGATACAAAGCACAAGTTTTGCATCTTACTTTTTGTAGCGTCTTATAATCCGGAGGTTAAGGTAACACGCACGGTCCTTATCATCGTCATCGTCATCATCATCTTTAGCCATGATCATTCCATTGCTGGATGAAGGCTCCCCCCCCCCCCATAGCTGTCGTTATTTCCCACGATGCAACACTCCACTCTTCACCTTTCCCCCAGCGGTAAATGGCCAGGTTGCTGAGCGGTGGGGCGAGCGGCTCGCAGTTAGAAGGGTCGCGAGCTCAAAACGTGGTTGCCAGTCGACTCGGCCTCCTCATCATCCTCCTCCAACGTCGCTAAAATGAGTTGCCACTTTTTTAGGGGACATCATCAAAGCGGTCGGTCCTGTGGGTCTGACTCGCCTTCCCCGCTGTAGGAAGGTGGGATTTCCACCAACGTTGTGTGCCTGTGAATGGCAAATGAGCTCGTTTGGGCAGGAAATAATTTTGAGTGTTAAGTATACAAAGAAACTAAACTGTTTTCTATTTTGCCAGGTAAGACCCACTGAGCTGTGTAGCTCTTTTTCATAAGTGACTTCGCTATCCCAAATGATAGCTCGATGAAGTGACGTATCGTCACGTGGAAATTTATAGCGGCAAAATGCTCTGAACGCGTGACGTTGATTCAAAATGTGGAGAGAAAAACCGGAGGACCCGGAGAAAAATCCACGCGATCGTGGGGAGGGAGAACATGCAAACTCCAAATATAACAGTAATTTTAATTGATAAAGCACCCTGAAACAATCGTTCTTAGGGCGCTAAAATCATTCAGACGGAAGAGCAAGCGAAAGGAGGACATGAGAACTAAAGAAAACGAAACAAAGGGCTGAACAAGAGGGGAGGGAAGGCAGAAAGAAGGCGAGAGGCAGGAGCGGCGAGACAGCGGCATTCCCTGCCAACCGGGGAACAGGCGGCAGGGTCGGGATAGAACCCACGACCTCCTGGTGGTTTACATCTCGCCAACGTGCCGCCCCCTCTGGTTGCAGCCTGAATCTCGTTTGTTGTGCGCTTTTGCCAGTCTCGCGCGCACTGTGCACGGGCCCCGTGGCTCGAATG